ATAGTTTTTAGTATTTTATTATTTTTAAATTTAAATACACAACGTAATATATTTTTGTTTTTTTTTTCGAAAACCAATGATGCTGAAGAACAAATTCTATAGGACAATTGTGAGACTGACTTTATTTTATGAGGTGGAATATTTGGCAGTCAAGAAATAACATACGTATAGAATGAGTGTAGCTGAGATGAGGATGTTGAGGTGGATGAGTGACAATACAAGAAATGATAGAACTCCAAATGAATATATTTGGGTGAAGAGATGTAGCACTAATAGATGATAAGATGAGAGAAAATAGATTTATGTGGGTTGGCCATGTACAACACCGACCCATCACCTGTTGGAGCATAATTAGCAAGTCAGGGAATATCAAAATATTGGCTCACCACAAAATCATAATTAAATCAATTTCGGTCCAAAAAGTCGGACGCAAAAATTCGGGGTAAATATATTGTATGTGAAAATATCACAAATATACCGGATTGGAATGAAAAAATCGATATGAAAGAAATTGGTACATTTAAAAATTTTAAATTCTAAAAAATACATAATTTGAAAAAACAATGAATAAATAATAATTTTTTTACTAAATTAATATAATTAAATAAATCAATTTAGATATCTAATTTATGCCCTCTCTATGTGGTTTCAGCCCTCTCTCACTGGGTTCTACCAAGAAAGTCTCTTGTTCAAGACTCTTGAGGAGATGATCTCTGCGACTACGGGCTGAAGCATCCATCTCACTCATCACGCTCTCGGCTCTGCCCACCTTCCCATTTTACAGAGAATGAATTAGAGTATTATTGACTTATCAAATGAAAGTTAAGTGCTGGCCAAGATCATTGTGGATCCCACCTCCTAAAATTTAACTTTGATGGTAGCTCCAATGAGAATCATAGTGTGGCAGGTTTTGGTGGGGGTAGTGAGTTTGGAATAGAGGGATTATCTTTACCTATGTACCACTGCTAACCATGCTGAGCTTCTTGCCTTTCTACCAGGGTTGATGATTTATCGTGATAAAATGTTGATGCTCTTTTATCTCTTGAATGAGACTCTTTGAATGTGAGATCCAAGGGTACCATGGGCAATTCGATCTTTTTAGTTGCAAATTGTCCATATAATGGATTTAACGCCAATCTCTTTCGTCCATGTATATCGAGGGGCGAATTATGTGGTTAATTCTTTGGCTAAATTTGGGTGAATTACGTGGCTGATTCTTTGGCTAAATTTGGTGTGATTCTTTGGCTAAATTTGGGTGAATTTTGTGGCTGATTCTGTTTTGGCTAAATTTGGTGTGACTTGTTCCGCTGTTATGGTTGTTGATGATGTAATATTACCATTGTAATTTTCTTTCATTAATAAATTTCTTAACATTGGTCCAAAAAAAATAAAAGAGAGCAAAACCCATCAATGGAACATTACCGGTTTTTGTCCATAATCACTCATACTTAAAATCACAAATAAAATAGTTACTTAAAAAAAGCACACAAAAAAATGTAGTTCAACACTTCAACTAATCCAAATCAGAAATAAAACAATATTTAATAAAATAAATAAATTTTACATAGTTATTTTTCACAACAGCTAATGAAATTTGCAACCATATGCAATGAAAAAAAGCATACCTTTCTTTTTTATTTTTTTAAACAAACCTATACAACCATAGCTTTGAAGAAGAATACTTGGGATATAGTTTATCTTGCACGAGCCAGGGACAAAACCAATAATTGGGGAAACAATTTTTTTTGGCAATGAATGTATTGTTTTGGAGAAAAATAACACGATCTTTTAGGTTAGATGAAAATAGAAATTTCAAAAAAAAAGAAAAAAAAGAAAAAAAAAGAAAGGTATATAGCATTCAAAAATAAACTTTTTTGTAAGCAATAAAAGGAAAGTTTTATTTGGAAGGTAAATATAACACGACATTTTTAGGTTAGATTAAAACAAAAATTTCAAAAAAAATGGAAAAAAGGTGTATAGCCTTCAAAAAGGAATTTTGTTTTCAAGCAATAAAAGGAACGCTTTTTTAACGGTATTTTGAAAAAGTGAATATAGAACAATTTTTAGTAGGTTAGATAAAAATAAAATTTTCAAAAAAAGGAAAAAGATATATAGCATTCAAAAATAAACTTTTTTGCAAGCAATAAAGTGAGTTTATTTTTGCAACATATTTTCTAAAAAGTCAATTTAACTCATTTTAAGCGTTTTTCTCCAAATATCACTTGTTTGTTTCCCTCTATTTTAAAAAAAACGTAGTTTTAAAAAGTATAATATAAAAATGGAAATTTTTTGAAAAAAACATATTTAAAAAGATTTGCTAACTATGATTAAGAGGTACAAATTAGTTCAAGTGCAATGCTTAGAAATGGCAAGAGATAGGCTCAAACGGATGTCTGGTTGAAAGTAGTGAGAAAATATATAGGGACTAATGGTCTCATTGAGGGTACGAGATTCGTATAGTCGACCCCAATTAATTAGAAAAAGGTTTTATCGATATTTTGTAATTTTTGTTTAGGTTTTGATGTTGTAACTAAATTTATTAGTAATAAAGCCCATAATATTCGTCAAAAAAGATATTTTCCACTCTTTTGAAAGTTGGACGGTTACATCGCAAAATTTATTGTTTATGTTTTGATGTTGTAACTAATTTTATTAGTAATAAGGCCCATAATATTCGTCAAAAAAGATATTTTCCACTCTTTTGAAAGTTGGACGGTTACATCGCAAAAGTTTTCAATCCTGAAAATACTCATGAACAAGGAAGTTCGTCACCAAATTATAAAGATTATCCTCCCTAAATTTTAAATATGATAAATATTAATAAATTACACCCAAAGGGAAATCTACAAAAAAAACAAAAAAATCCCATTTTATTATCAAAATTTAAAAATAGTTATTTATATTTTACACTCAAATTCCATTTTCGAGAGTGCGTATTTTATTTTAATTTTATTTTTGTATACATCATATTAGTCGCGAATTGTGGGAGGTGCTACTTCTATCCATCTGACATTTATAAAAAACACAAAAAATATTTTTAAATAAATAAAATAATCAAATTATCTATAAAGCATTGATATTTATAGGGATATTCTGGTTATTTTTATTTAAATTAATTATATTTTTGAATATTTTCTTACAAGTGAGTTATAGTCAAATTATGGATGTCCAAGATTTAAGTTTAATCAAATGCATAGAAAATGAATAAAGTTCAAATACAATAAAAAATTTATCAAAATAATGAACGATTTAACATTCTACGTATTACATGTATTCCTACTCAAGATTATGTGTTTTTTTTATGAATATTTTAAAATTAAATAAAAAAATATAAGAAAAAAGTTAAATTGTTGGTCTCTCTCTCATGCATAATTGGATAAAGAATATTCACTAAAAAAAGAGTTGAGACTCAAGTATAGAAATATAAAAGAGCAAGCTTTCTATACTTCCTCTATAGCATAAAACTTATATACTTTTCCTTATCCAATCAGTTGAGATGGTTTCAATCACAATGTCGGATCTCTACACTATTTTATTTTTAATTATTGTTTTCTAAAATATTTTGACACCAAAAATCGGGAGTCCATTCCTCTCACACTTGTAAGAAACATAAAAATATATTTTTAATAAAACAAAATGATCAAAATACTTCTAAAAGCTTCAAAGGGTATTTTAATCAGTATATTTTATATAAAAAAAAGTATTTTTTTTAGGTGCACCCTATTAAGAAGATGGTAAGTACAAAATTTTATATTCATATAATTTGTCAAAAAAAAAATTAAAATAAACTACTCTGAAGCGGTGAGTGGCCCACTTGATTTAAATTGGACTGCTAGGCGGTGAGTGGCTCACTTGATTTAAATTGTACTGTTGGATGGGGGGAAGTATATATTTTCTATGTTGTAGGCGAAGTATAGAAACCTTTCCCAATATAAAAAAGAAAGGTGAGCGGATGGAGATCATGGACATGATTAAGACACATGAATGTTACTGGTGTAACAAAACATCTAGTGCATCGTGGAAGTTGAGATCGGAGTGGATGGTGATCATGACATGATTTGGAACATAAATGTTACTTTTAAGCTTGTCTACAGAGAAGGGAATGATGTAGTCGATTCATTGGCTAAGAGAGGAGTTTTGTTTGATTATTAATCCTCCTTGATTAATAATATTATAGAACATTATGAAAAAAAGAAATGAAAGAAAAGTGAGTAGCTCACTTGATCTAAATTGAACGGTTGGTATAAAAAAGTATATATCTTCTATATATAGAAGTACATCCAAAAAGCACAAAATCTAAAAATAAAAAAATAAAAAAAAAGAATAAGGAATAAGGAATAAGGAATAAAGAATAAGGAATAAGGAATAAAGAATAAGAAATAAAAAATAAGAAATAAAAATAATAATGTCCCTGGTACTTTCAACTTAACGGGAACCTAAAATAATTAGGTGTGGTTTGTATAGAGCCTAGGTTCTAAACAATCAAATTAGAGCCTACCTTCAAATAGTATCAAGAAATGTGGTTTGAATGAAATTTTTATCATAGCTTTAAAATATATGTTCATCTTTATTTATGAAGTTTAAAGCTTCAAAAAGAGTGTAGATCAATAGATATATATGAAAACTTGAAAATCTTAAAAATTGACGGTCCAAAAATACTTACAAAATATACTATTTTTAAAACTTGAAATCTATTTTTTTTCTCATATGCATGCATGTTGATGTCAAGATGATCAATTTGAAGATATTTGTGCATCAAAACAACCTCTTTTGAAGAAAATTTTGAGGTAGACCTCGGTTCTATATAAACTTTTTCCAAATTTAGAAAATTGCTTAATAAAACGCATTATCAATGGGTGCTAATACTTATCCAATCCATTATTATAGTTGTGGAAGAACCAAAATTTCAAGATTACCCCCCTTCCACTACAAGCGTAAATCCCGTAAATTATTTTAAAAAGAGGTTGCCTTAATGTTAAATATTCGAAGGCGCCGATTCTTCGACCTTTATCTCGCACCCCATATACCGGCGCATTGCGCAGTTTTTTTTTTTCTCTCTCTCTCGCTCTCTCTCTCTCTACAATGGCCATGAAGGACATCTCCCCCGTAGATTTGCCAGAAAATCCCCGTTATATAAACGGAAAGGTGATCATGGTGACCGGAGCTTCTTCTGGTCTCGGCCGTGAATTTTGCCTCAGCCTTGCGAAATCAGGCTGCAAAATCCTTGCTTGTGCTCGAAGAACTGAGCTTCTTCGTTCTCTATGTGAAGAAATCAACAGTTTGAACGTTTCTTTCGGTGAATTTTCCGGCCAAAATTCCGGCGAAGCAGTTTCTGTGAAGGTTGATGTTAGCCAAAATGGAAAAGCCATTGATGAAGCTGTACAGTTGGCTTGGAATATTTATGGCCGGATTGATGCTCTCATCAATAATGCAGGAATTAGGGGTAAAGATAAAATTCTAATGTCTATGACTCAAGAGCTTTATTTTATTTTATTTTATATTTTTTGAAATTCTTCTGTTGATTTCATTTATTTTTTGTGGATTTTGATTGTAGTTTTGGGGCATTCAGAAGATTAATTTTGTGATTGTGTATAATTGTGAGAGTAGTTTCAGTGATTTGGATAAGGAATCATTCTTCTATGGATGTGAAAATCTTACAGATTACAGAGAAGAGTAAAAAAGCTGGTGGATTTACAGGAAAGGCAGCTCTGAAAATCTGTTTTTCCTCCAGGTTTTTATGCCGTTGTGAGAACTCTTGTTCTTCGAAATATCAACAATTTATTTGGAAATTTTTGTAAAATGTGATTTTGAGATGGCAATCTCTGGAAATTATAAAGAAAAAATATTTACAAAGAATGATAAAAACCTTTAAATATTAGGAGGTGAACATGATTATAAAAAAAAAGATAGGAAAAATGAAAACAAATTTTTTTACATTTTTAAAAACTGAAAAATAGAACTGCACAAGTTTCTACATTTTCTTTTCCTTTTTGCAATTTACATTTCTCATGAAACCTTTATTCCAGTGTTTTTATAACCTGCCTCAGGTCTCGGACTCAGTCCTAGCCCGAGGCAAGTAACTCCGCTGAAGTCCGGTAGACTCGAGCAGAGTTTAAAAAATAGAAAATATTAAGTAGAGTAAAAAAATAGAAACTGTAAAATTTTGTTTAGAAAATGAAATAAAAGTTGTAAAAGTGAAATAAAACCAAAGGTAATATATATATATATATATATATATATATATATATATAGTA